GCTGTTTACGTGTTTGTGATCTTTCAATCACGGGAAACCAACAAGATCATCGAAATACTCTGTAGCAATAAGACACCATCAAACATAACGAAACATTAAGCAAAACCTGAAGGGACCCGAATTAAAAGGGACGCTGACTTAGAGAGCCACCCAAATGTAGAGCCTAAACCCTAAACCCTAAACCCTAAACCCAATTATGAACAACTTGAACCGAGCTGCCGGAAGGGGCTCCTCTACGGGTTTCGGGGATATAAGAGTGTGAACACTTGGAACACACTGTTTTGTGCATGTTACAGAAACAATTGCGCAGGGGACCATAAGGGGATCCTACTAGTGGTCATTCAAAGCCTTAGTAGCAAGTAATATGCAAGAACCCTCAAACGCTTAACCCGAACCCCTGAACGCTAGACAGCCTAAACTGTTTCAGCCTATAAATACGCAAGAAACTCAAATCCGAAACCCCTGACCCGCAAACCCTCATAGCGTATAATATGAAAGAAACCTCAAACCCTAGCCCCTGACCGTAAACCCTGTTGGCCTGTAGTATGCAAGAAACCTCAAACATCAACCGCTCAGGCTTCTAGCTCTAAAGGAGCCCTCAACCGAAAGCCCAAAGCCCTCAACAAATCCCAAACTCCACTCCCATGGGGTTTAGGGCTTAGGGTTTTGGGGGTGCAGGGAACTCCTGCAAGATATCCTGACACGATGTCACCAAGGCGCGCAGAGCTGATTGCCGCAGGCCATGGGAAGCGCATCCTCGGTCAGCAGAGCTGAGAGCGATAAAGTTCAGAGTTTAGAGTGTACCTAGTCTCCATTGTAGTTCCTTTTGGGGGTTACCTTATAGGATCCTAAGTATATACATATATATGTGTATATATATATATATAATTTGGTTAAACCAAAACAAGGAACAACAATGGAGACTACAGGTAGGGTATTACGAGAGAGGGACGTGACACGCAAAGTCTTGAGGCGGGCTCAAGTACCACAGCCTGCGGATGCTCTCACAAACTCGCTAACCTGCTGCCATCAGCTCCGAAACACCGAAGCAATGGAAAACTACTTAGGACAGGGTTTTGGGGTACATTCTACGAGAACTGTAATATATAACGAACCCACCGAATAGTGTTGGGTCACTACTTAAGCCACTAGATTAGATCCCCGAGAAAGAAAGGGACCTTAATTCTTGGAAACTCTAAACCCTACACACCTAAACACTCGCGCTTAGGGTTTGGGGTTTAGGCTTTAGGGTTTCGGGCTTGGTGTTTAGGCTTTAGGCCTTTAACATTTAGGGGCTTGAGGTTTAGGGTTCAGGGTTTAAGTGAATAAACTCTAAGCCCCTAAACGCTAGGTCCCTTCAACGAAACCCTATAAAGGACTCCTATTCTGCTCATTCGTAAGTGCCTTTTAACTCAGAACCCTAAACCCTAAACCCTAAACACTACTGAAGGTAGCAGGGTTTAGGGTTTAGGGTTAAGGTTTAGGGTTGCATCTTTAATAATATTTTAGAGCTTTCTCACAGTTCAAACCAGAAGTACTTCCTAAGGGCACTAAGGTACAGGGTGTCTTTATCTAAACGAAAGCCAAGTTCCTCCAAGATAAGGACCATATCTCTCTGCATAACCTTCTTGAAACCATTCGCAGGAATGCTATTCTGGTTTTAAAATTTGAGGTTGATAAAATTATTCACATATAACCCTAAACCCTAGACCCTAAACCCTAAACCCTAAACCCTAAATATTCGCCCTGAACATCGAACCCTAAACGAAACCCGAGTCCTGAGTTGGAGGTAGAGCTCTCACGATGTCGTAGGACTCATCGTCGGCAAAGAGAAAAGTGAGCAAACCTGACTTCGAATGGGTTTAGGGTTTAGGGTTTAGGGCAACGCTTTTTTCAGATTTGCAGTTATAGAAACCTGTATAATTCGACTATGTTTTTTGGGATTGTTCCAGGGTGGATTGTAGAGCCCTGAGGAATACTACGGCTGATGATATAAATCCTGCAGTGCCCATAACAAGGAATATACCATAACCAGTCCCGAAGTTCACATTTGCCAACATACCGAACTCGACACTCGACTCTGAAAAACCGGCTTTGGGCCAAACAACCGAAACCTGATGGCAAACTTCTTTCAGGGTTTAGGGTTTAGGGGTTTAGGGGTTAGGGTTTAGGGTTTAGGGTATAGGGTCTAGGGGCCATAACGTGTCTAAGGACCCTGTCAGCCAAGCCACGATTTGCAAACCCGATGGTCTTCGAACCATCCTCACAGTTGTTGGCTGGGTTCTTGTCAAGGAACCCATGGTGAGTTGCCGTAGCAATGATCAACAGCAACTGGTTATGACAACAACCCTATACTAGACCCTAAACCCTAAACCCTAACTAGGTTCCCCAGTAGCCAACTTAAGGATAAGGGTACCCCTTTTTCCTACTATTTGGTTTTAATCGGGGAAAAAAAGGTGCAAAAAGGGTACTACTGGGGAACCTAGCTAAACTAAACCCTAAACCCTAAACTGCAACCAAGTTCCTTGAAACCTTGAGAGCCCCTTAACAGGCCGGCATCTTGAACCGAAAGCTGGGTGCCTCTTGAGGGCAGATAAGGTTTAGGGTTTAGGGTTTAGGGTTTAGGGCTTAGTCGATATAAGCCCCTTGGAGCCATGATCAGCATGACGTTGTCAGCACATGCCTTTGTCATCAAGGCTGAACAACATCTCTCCAAGAGACCAAACTAACCCTCAGCATCAACATCGCCCAAAAGCCTTATATAATAGGGTCTTTGGGCCCAAAAGCCTTAAAATATGACTCCTTTGAGGGTAAAGGGTAAGTATTTTGGGACTATACCGGCGACAGCTCTGCATAAGGGATACTAACTCAGACCTCTATGTTATCACAGCAACCCGCATGTTTGGAGATGGTAAGAAAAGACACCATAACCAGGACATTAAGAATGAGCAATAATTCCTAACCCCAAGGTCTGCCTGTAGGGACAACGCTGATTCTTAAACTCTAAACCCTACATAACCCTATACCTAAACCCTAAAAACCTTAAAACAACACATTGATTCTTAAACCCTAAACCCTACATAACCCTATACCTAAACCCTAGAACCCTAAACAACACATTGAGTCTTAAACCCTAAACCCTACATACCTCAACCCTACAAACCTAAACAACACATTTTCGGGTCCTTGTTCAGCACGCAGATGGCTGCTTGGAGCCGGCTCTGCTCGATCAGGCTGAGGTCTCCTGAGCCGAATCGCCGATCCAGCCGGTAAGGCTTCGGACGGTTTAGGGTTTAGGGTTTAGGGTTTAGGGTTTAGGGTTTAGGGTTTAGGGCTCCTTTTTAGTATTATTATAATAAGGAACCCAGACAGTAATAGTGGAACTTATTTAGGAGACGGTTTCGGGCTCCTTTATAATAGTACTATAGTAAGGAGCCCTAACAGTAAGATTGGTAACTACCCCAAAGGCCCTAAAGTAGTTCCTTTTTGAGGGTTCGTATTTCGAATCGTATTAGGGAATCCCAAAAAGGAGCTACTGTGGGGCCTACAGGTAGGGCATAGGGTGGCGGGCTTTTAGGGTTTTGGGTTTGAGGTTCAGGGGTTTAGGGCGTAGGGATGAAGCGTGCAAGGCTTCAGGCTTGATGTGTAGGGTTTGGACCAGGGCGTTCGGCACACGTTCTCTGAAGGCTTCGAGAAGGGATCTACACGGGTCTACACGGGTACCGCAGGTGTTGAGGGTGTGGGTTCCTTTGAAGGTTTTTTTGCGGGTTCTATTCGGGTACCGTGCAAGGGTTTAGGGTTTCGTGTGTCCCCCAGCCCAAAGGGTTCTGTAATGGCTTCATTGGGTGGTATATGTTCGGACACATGCATTGTAGGCTTCTAGAAGTCCAACGTACGGTCCAAAGCACCGCGTACTTGAGCCCAGGCCACTTGCACCTGTAGGTAGGTAGGTATTTTGGGGAGTGTGGGATGATCAGGTACTTGGACCACTCTCCCTCAACAGTGAACCCCCTTCAACCCACAACATCTGTTGCACAGCTGTGCCGGGAAAACATTCTGTCTGCTCCGGTTTCTCTTGGGGCAAGGTTCGGGGTATACCTGAAACATAGAGAAGACTCTTTTCCATCCCATGACCTTGCTGCGCACGTTTGTTCGGGATATTGAACAGACTTCACACACGCAAGCTTAGCAGGAGAGATGTGGGCATGAGGATATGTAAGTGGGAGGTTTTCAACATCTGGGTCTCTTTTAGGGTCCCATTTATAAGGGTGCCGTACTATAGTGGGGATCTAGAAAGGGACCCTAAGTTAGGGACTATCCATCCTAAACCCTAAACCCTACACCCGAAACCCTAAAACCCTAAAACCCTAAACCCTAGACCCTAAACCCTACAACCCGAAACCCTAAACCCTAAACCCTACAACCCGAAACCCTAAACCCTAAAACCCTAAACCCTACTAAGGGCATCTAAGCTCAAGCTCCGGCCTCAACTCGCGGTCTTAAGCAGAACGCGCTGAGAAAATCCTGAATCCTCGACTGTCACCCTAAGGGTCCAAGTGAGGTGAGGTTTAGGGTTTAGGGGTTGAGGGTTTAGGGTTTAGGGGTTTAGGGTTTCGGGTTTAGGGTTTAGGGTTTAGGGGTTTAGGGTTTAGGGACCTTGCATGACCCAGAATAACCGTAAGGGTCCAAGTGCCAAATAATCGTAGACTCTCCCAAAAAGTAGCCTACATCACTACTATCCGAAACCTAAGTACCTAAGTACTGGGTCCTTTGGACCCTTAGGGTCATCCTGGTCCGACCTTCAGGACTAGTGTAGGGGCCTGAATAATTAGAATAGGGTTTAGGATTTAGGGGCAGTAATAGTTGGAATAGGGTTTTGGGGCCCATTATGCCATAATTCGATTAGGGAACCCCCAAAAGAATATAATATAGGTAATTATTTAGGCCCCTGCATTCCATACGAAAACGCCTCTACACCCAGTCTCGAATGTCCGCAACAAGGCACCGTGCCACAGGACGCAGTCTTCACTGCCAGGGGCGATCGGATCCTTCACGGCGTCAGGACCGGATTTCCAAGGATTGCGAGAAGACCGCTAGCTGCACCCCCACCCTTAGCGCAGCCCCAAATTTTACGACACCATCCCTAAACCCTAAACCCTAAACCCTAAACCCTAAACCCTAAACCCCAAACTCACTTCAACTATTCATCAAGGACTCGAAGATGGAAGTCTCAAAGTCCTAGAAAAAGCCCCTAAACCCTAAACCCTAAACCCTCACCCCCTAAACCCTAAACCCTAAACCCTAAACCCTAAACCCTAAGCCCTATAAACCCTGAACCCTAAACCCCAAGCCCTAAGCCCCTAAACCCTGAAAGGGTTCAGGGTTCAGGGTCTGGGTGGATTTCTGGCTCCGTGGGGCCTTCAGGACTTGAACAGACGGCTTGAGGCTCCGCAGTGTAGGGTTTAGGGTTTAGGGTTTAGGGTTTACGGTTTAGGGTTTAGGGTTTAGGGCGTCTGCCTGCGTGGGGCTGAATATCCATGCACCGATGGCGCAACCCCACTTCCAGGGATCTGTGGGTGGCGGCGCATCCTCCGCCCAGCGACCCAGGCATGATGTCGCTGAAATCCATCGCAACTGGGATTTCTTTATTTTTTCCCGCCAGCTGTGAGAAGTCACATGCTACCGAGCCTAAACCGATCCGGTTTCCTTAACACCGAATGAACTTAAAGGAGCGGCCCTCTACAAATATACCACCTTAAGGTTCCGGCCCAGCGGAAGAAGTAATGTAGGGCCTTCCTAATTACCTATGATATTTTGGGGGCTCCTTATTATAACTTTAGTATAATTGGACCCAAAACCCTATTCTAATGATGAAGGCACCTATAGTAGTCCTCGTCCGCATTGACGCTGCGCGCAATTATCGCCAGGATCGTTTCGATCTGCTCCAGTGCGAAGACTCTTCGTGCCCGGGGATGAAGAAAACCTGAGGGAAGAAACCCTAAACCCTAAACCCTAAACCGGGCCTAAGGTTGCAGCCATGGGCCCCTAGAGCCCTGGGATCCTTACACCTACTATATACCCTATATGTACCCTTAAGGGTCCCTAGAAAGGCCTAAGGGTCCATATTAGGGGTCCATACTTCTAACCTTAGAGTGGTTTAGGCTTTAGAGTTTAGGGTTTACGGTTTAGGGTTTGTGTTGGGCATCAGGATCGTTGCTTCAATCAGGGTGCAGGATTTGACAGAATTATTGAGGCTGTGTTTGGAATAACATCACGAGTCTCACTAGCACTTTATGACAGTGCTCCAGTCCAAACGTCACGTGGTAACCACCCTAAGCTACCACAGGGTGTATCCTAAACCCTACGCCGCAAATACCTCAGAAGCCTTACTTAACACCAATACTGTAACCCAGTGTGGCCAGACTGCCCACACCCGTCCAAACCCTCAACCTGAGCCCTAAACCCTAGACCCCTAAAGCGCTAAATCCTAAACCCCAAAACCCCTAAACCCCTAACGCCCTAAACCCTAAACCCCTAAAGCCCTAAACCCCAAAACCCCTAAAACCCTACTGTAAACCCTAAAACCCTGAAGCCTAAAGCCCTAAACCCTAAAACCTCCACCCTAAACCCCTAAAGCCCTCAACCCCAAAACCCTGAAACCAAAAGCCCTAAACCCCACCCCCTCAAGACCAATACTGTTGATGATCGAACTCCTGCATTACCTGAAGGACCCTAAACTAAGGGTTTAGGGTTTAAGACTTAGGGTTTTAAGGTTTAGGGTTTAAGGGTTGATGCTATAAGTCCTGCATTACCTTACGGACCCCAAACTACAGGAATTCTGGTGTATTCCTTACCCTAAGGGTCCAAAGGACCCGGCAATCAGGTACTTAGGTTTCGGATAGTAGTTGTGTAGGTTACTATTTGGGAGAGTATACGATTATTAGGTACTTGGACCCTTAGGGTTATTCTGGGTTATGCAGAGTTTATAACATCAACCGTACCTCACCTCACTTGGCCCTTCCAGCCTGAACAGCGAAGTGAAGAACTCAGTATCAACCAAGGGCCCCTTTTCCTTAAGGACGAAATGAACCCTAAAAGGGTTAAGGGTTCATAAACCATATAGGGATTCATAGTATAAGGGTATAGGGCCACTACTTTTAAGGGCCATTTCGGCCCCGCACCGTCACCTGCGGGCTCTTAGTATTTTGGGTCGACAGTCCCCAACCCTGTCATGCTTATAGTTGCAAGCCCCTCTTTCCGCTTGTAGCACCATGGGTATCATTGAAGCCATGCCGTCAATGCCGTATTTGGGACTGTAGTGCTTGCTAGGCTGCCTCACAGTAGTGCACAGTCGCTCTTGATCCTCTACAACCACCTGCTTCTCGAGGTATACCCTAAGGCTCGTGGACCTCCATACAGTAGTGGAACCCCTAAACCCTAAACCTAAA